GAAAGAGTAAACTGCTTGCTAACATGAGGGTTCAAGAAAGAATATTAACCTTATATGACAGCACATCATTTGGCATAGCATTTTAAGTAAAGAAGATAAAATGTTCCATGTAAACATCTTGGTTTTCAAATGACTGTATGCCAGGATATTTAAGAAAAACCACATTAATAAGTACCTTTGGAAAGTTTTTAAAGTAAATAATTATTATGCTTTTATAATTTTGCCCTATAAAGTACTTTATTTCCTATAGTGAAACAGTCTATGACCAGCAACCCAGTACTAGAAACACTCAGTTATAGAATCACTGAACTGGAAGAAACATTTCATATAATCTAGTTCACTGTCTTCATTTTTCATTTGCTAAAACTGAAGTCAAGAAAAAATCAGGTGCTAAGGAAAATGTAGAACTAGAATCTAGTTTCTCTTAGTCTCAGTCACATGGTCTTCTAAGATGTATCAATATTTCCTTATTACTTCTATCCTCTATCAATATTTTACAGTAACAACGGCAAAGTCAAAAAGAATCTTCCTAAATGTTTACATTATCTGAAGATTATAGAATTGGTACAAGTACAGAACCATGTAGGAAAAAAGGAAAACAAACAAAATGGTCTCATATTCTCTATTTACACCAATGTCAAATTATAAATAATACATTGAGAAATATTAAACTCAAATAGATATGAAGCATAAGAGCATTTAGAGCGAAATGCTACAAAATTTTATGTTAAACATGAAAACACTATAACTCACATTATCCATCTGTTTCCAGCACATGTCAAGGTATTGCTGAGCTTTTCTTCCCTCTTGAAGATGCTGAAGATCATAACAACAACCAAAAAAACAAACAAAACAAATTTTTTAATTACAATTAAATACCAATTAAAGCCTAAAGTCCCCAAAAGGCTTTTCACTTAATTTTTTTTCAAGGTACTAATTATGTAAACTTTATCAAGACTTAGGAAGAGATTATTAGTAAAGCAAAAATTCTCTAAAATGCATTTTATAGACTATTATTTAAATATTTTAAATATAATCTTTAAGACAGATATAATCTCTTGGAAAATACATGATTATCTAAATAGGGGTTGACAAAGTTTTCTATAAAGCGTCAAATAAACATTTTAGGCTTTGCAAACCACATGGTCTCTGTCTCTGTTACAAATATTCAACTCTGCTAATATAATGCAAAAGCAGCCACACGCAATATATAAGTGAATGAGTGTGCGCCTGTTCCAATAAAACTTTATGGTCACTAAAATTTGAATTTCATATAATTTTCACATGTCATAAAATATTCTTTTTTTCATTTTCTTTTCAACTATCTAAAAATGTAAAAACCATTCTTAGCTCATGGTAACTAGGAAACAAAAACAGGCAGTAAGCTAGATTTGTCCCACTGGCTGGAATTTACCAAACCTCAGTCTTAAATCCAAAAGGATCACAAATTAGTAAGAATGTCTTGAGATAATTTTAGCTAGAAGAAATGTAGAGAAATAGAAAACCAGTTTATGCTGTACGACTATACATTATTTTAAAAAGCAATTACTTCATTTCTGTGAAAATATTTCATATATTATAACTGTATAAAAATGATAAGATTACCATTTTTCTTTCAGTTTTCAGATCATGAGCATATCTCATTAATTCACCATAAACTCTGTGCGCCATTTCTTCTGCTACTACTTCTCGCTGTCCTGCATAGTCATTTAACTCGTTAAGGATGTTAAAAAAGGCTATACACGAAGTAAACCTGACAAAAACATATTAAAAATGGTGAAATTTATTTTTACTTTCATTATAAATGTTTTTGTAAGGTACAGATTGAGCCTGATACTTAACAAATTTTAACATATTCAACCTAAATCTCAGCTACTAGCTCTAAATTAACTTTGTATGAAAAGAATCCTGCTTAAGCTCAAGTTGTACATGTTTATATATCTTCAGGCAGTCTTAACTTATAAATAAAAGAATATTTGGGGTCAAAAAATAATAAGAATACTACCTGCAGGCTCTTTTAGCATACTAGAATCTCTTAAGTTGCCAATTAACTGCCCTGAGCTTGGGAATGAACTTGGTTGGATTCCTAGGCTTGGCAGCTGAACCTATTACAGAGATGATATGCTTGCTCTAGAGGACAGAACCTGCCAATTATACCACTCAAATGCATCTCGATGGGTGATCTACAGAACAATTTTGCTACCAGCTCTGGACACAGCTGCCTGTATGCCTGCCCACATCCTGAATGCAAGTGAAGTGCCGCTATGGTTGGCACCACAGAGGGTTAAGAAGGGGCAAAAATAAGGGTAAAAAGAATGTGTGTGGAGGGAAGGAGAGAAACAAAGAGAATCACTGTATTAAAATGTATAGATGTATTTGAATACACTGCCGGAACACTCTTACATAAGCTGAAGGTGGACAGCTCAGCTAGGACTCCATTAACACTAAACCTGAGAATCCTCTAACAACTAACAATTACACACAAAGTTGTTTTATGTCTAGTCTCCTTTTGTTTCTGCATTTTACAACTATCCATGTATCCTCCTGTTTAAGAATGCCAAAAAGCTCACAGGCAATTCCTAACCTTTTATTCAGAGTTCCAAAATTACCCTGAAAACCTTATTCCTTTTCATTACCCCTTTAAACCAACCAGCCAAATTGTTTTGCTACCTGTAAAAGTAAAAGCAAGAATCTAACAAGCTGACAGCTACAAAATAAAGTATGGAAAAAATACCCTTTTCTTCTGGAGACTACATCATTCAAGTGGAGTCCCAGTCCACCTATTACTTAGAAATCACACTTCAACTATTCTAAAAAGCTATTAAAGCCCACTGAAGTATGCAACCTCATAAGAAAAAACAGTAGTTTCCTCTTTCATAAACATTATGATTTTTTATTACAATAAACTTTTAAAAATCTTTATAAAAAGCTAATGGCATAATATTTATTTTACTAAATAACAAAAATATAGGTCTTCTTTTAAATTTTAATATGCAACAGTAAATAGGGATATAATTTACCTTGGCTCTTCATCTTTGGTGGAACGTTTGGGACAGTACTTCTTAACCAGATTTCTATAGGAAGAAGATTTTTAAAAGTTTACTAAAATACTGTTCTTGAAATTCAAATACTCTAAAAGTTTCCAATTTCATTATATCAAGAATTTAATGATGTAAAACAATTAAGACAGCAACATGATCATCTATTACCATCGTAACAGACAATCACTACTTACATTTTCTCCTTAAAATACTGATTCCTGTAGAAAGAAATGTTATTTCTATGTTTATACGAGTGTAATAGTAACAATTTGGTTGATTATGCTATCAAACTAAAAAGAATTAAGAGGAAGAATAAAAGAAACAAAGTACTCAGTATATGAAACTGAGTTATGGCAGAAAGACACGTATTTCAAGGAAATACTATCATTATTTTCTTTTGTAAATCAGGGATTATAATACTAACTAAGGTAAAATGTAAACAGATGCGGACCCACTACAGGATAAAAGAACAGTTCATCAGTATCCTCTGTAACTCTACTTTTATATGAAAATCACTATGTGATCCTTAACCTCTTTCTTTAGGCAAATGAATTAATTCCAATTTGTAACTTTCTCTGCCTGTATCTATGTCCATTCTTGACAGTCGCGGACTAGAATGCTACCTCATTTCATCTTTGCAAAATCAGAGGCAGACAAGCACATGGACTCTGGAGTCAAACTGGGCTACGTGGGTTTTGTGTGGCATCTGTGTGACCTTGGGCAATTTACTCACACTCTTTGTGCCCAGTTTTCTATAAATGGTGATACACAGTACCTCTAACCCATAAGGTTATGAGAATTAAAGTAGATAATATTTGCAAAGCATTAACCACAGTCCTTTACACCACACTCCTGAAAATACGATCCATGGACCAGTAAAGGTAAACAGACTCTTCGTTACCTATCCCACAACAAGCTAAGTACAGAAGTTGAGAGTAGTTTTATAAATGTTGAATCTAACAGTAAAAAAAAGTAGGGCCTGTATTTCATATGTCTCTTTTTATGTCATTTTTTCTAGCATTAAATTTTTAATTTATTTTATAAAAGCATCAGTAGAAACTTTAAAAGAAACTAGTCCATCATCACAATTAATTTGAGATGTACTGGTTTAAACTATAATATCCATGGAAATCAGCAATTATGAGGTAACTGATTAACTTATTATGGTTATAACCACAGTCTCCAACCTATAAATGGGTTGCATTCTGGAAATTACTTTGAAAGTCAGTGATTTTCAACCATGAGTCCCTGAATTACTTTAAATAAAAACAAGTCAAACTTGGGCGAAGAACATTCCAAAGAGCAAGTAGTTTCAAATTCTGAACATAATTTTGTATATCAACATTTTAAGCATTGTTTATCGTTATAGGCTATAATTGACATTTGTTGTCTATGCCTACCTGCAACACTCACTACGCTTTTTTATTCTGTAACAGTTTGTGGCAGACATATTTCTGCTCATCAAAGAACCCTATTGGGCTTCCCTGGTGGCGCAGTGGTTGGGGGTCCACCTGCCGATGCAGGGGACGCGGGTTCATGCCCCGGTCCGGGAGGGTCCCACATGCTGCGGAGCGGCTGGGCCTGTGGGCCGTGGCCGCTGGGCCTGCGCGTCCGGAGCCTGTGCTCCGCAACGGGAGAGGCCACAGTGGTGAGAGGCCCGCGTACCACAAAAAAAAGAAAGAAAGAAAGAACCCTATTATTTCACACATTTTCCAGCACACTTGCAGTTAGGCAGAACCATGTGGCTAACTCTATATAATGGGCTGTTAGCTCTGTGATAAGTACCAAGCTAAAGCATTATAGCTCATGCATAAACGTCTGGGCTTCTTCATTCCCTGATGAAGCAACTGTGGAGGCTTCATGTTAAGATCAAGGTGAAAACAGTATGGATTCCTGAGTTACCACATGGACTACTAGAGTTATCACCTAGCCTTGTGGCTGACTTTGCATGAGCAAGAAATAAGCTTTTGCTGCATAAAGTCCCTGAGATTTGGGAGTTATTATTCTAGTACAGCCTGGCATAACCTAAACTACAGCTCCTCTATTGTCACGTCTATGTAATTGTGGTGGGTTGGTCACATATAACAGTCCAGGAACACTGATTTGATCCAGGTCCATTAATCCAGGCCAAAGTCAATGCTAAAATTTCCATTGAAATTCTTGGTAAGATACATTTTTTCTTTTTTTAAATTTTTATTTTATATTGGAGTATAGTTGATTAACAATGTTGTATTAGTTTCAGGTGTACAGCAAAGTGATTCAGTTATACATATACATATATCTATTCTTTCTCAAATTCTTTTCCCATTTAGGTTATTACAGAATACTGAGCAGAGTTCCCTGTGCTGTACAGTAGGTCCCTGTTGTTCATTAACATGTCTTTATGCTGAAGCTAAGTTGATACGACACAATCCTGGAGTCCCCACGTGTAAAGAGCCTACTTGGGTATTAAATCAACAGAAAGGACAATAAAATCAAGAGAAAAAGAGAGAAATTCTTACTTTTCTGAGTACCCAGATCCCTAAACTTTTCAGTCAAATAAGCCATAAATTCCTTTCTTTGCTTAAACCAATATGACTTGTTGGGCTTCTGACACTTGAAAGAATTATGACTACTACCACAGATATTAACACAAAAGTCTTAACATACTCATAGCTTAAACACAGCATAAACAACACTAATTTGAACTCTAGCTTCTGGGAGGAAGAGCACAAATATCACAAGAGGGAAGGGGAAGAAGAAGAAAGTAATATTACTTTTACCTTTTGAGCATGGACAGTTAATCCTCAGCACTTTTTTAAAATTTGTCTTGTCTCTCTTATGTAAAGTCACCCATCTATGGGAAACTCTTCCCAAGCCCCAATAAAGCCCTCAGAAACCATATACAAGCCACTAAGACTCCATCCAAGCATACCCTGCCACTAGAAAAACTACAGCATGGTCCAAAATGTTCTTGTATTCCACTAAATCAAAACTTCTATTCTAGGAAAACATATGCCCTAGAAGAAGACACAACAAATTATTAATAGTACTAATTTCTAGGGAGAGGGACTGGGAAGTGACTCAAATTTAAATGTGTTACAGTGATCATATACTGTTTTTTTAATTTAAAAACATTAATGATAAAAGCTACCAAAAGAAATTATCCCCTCAAAGCAGCTTATCTCAATTGGGCCTTCTAAGAAAACAGTCTGAAGTCAGCAAAAATACACACCAAGGTGTGACTGTTTACTAAGTCCCACAAATCCTTGCTTTGAATTTTTAACATAATATGCTTATTAAGTCAAATAAATCTCTGGCTTGTCTTAAATATGTAAGTGTAAAACAGGCAGGTTCCTCCTAAACTAAAAATATTTTAGGCAATTCATCTCTCTCAAGAAATCTGCCCTTAGAACCCTCTTGCACTGTTGGTGGGAAGGTAAATTGATACAGCTACTATGGAGAACAGTATGGAGGTTCCTTAAAAAACTAAAAATAGAACTACCATACGACCCAGCAATCCCATTACTGGGCATATACTCTGAGAAAACCATAATTCACAAAGAGTCATGTACCACAATGTTCACTGCAGCTCTATTTACAATAGCCAGGACATGAAAGCAACCTAAGTGTCCATCTACAAATGAACGGATAAAGATGTGGCACATATATACTATGGAATATTACTCAGCCATAAAAAGAAACAAAATTGAGTTATTTGTAGTGAGGTGGATGGACCTAGAGTCTGTCATACAGAGTGAAGTCAGAAAGAGAAAAACAAATACCGTATGCTAACACATATACATGGAATCTAAAAAAAAAAAAAAAAAAAGGTTCTGAAGAACCTAGGGGCAGGACAGGAATAAAGATGCAGATGTAGAGAATGGACTTGAGGATACGGGGAGGGGGAAGGGTAAGCTGGGTTGAAGTGAGAGAGTGGCAGGGACATATATACACTACCAAATGTAAAATAGATAGCTAGTGGGAAGCAGCCACATAGCACGGGGAGATCAGCTCGGTGCTTTGTGACCACCTAGAGGGGTGGGATAGGGAGGGTGGGAGGGAGATGCAAGAGGAGGAGATATGGGGATACATGTATATGTACACGTGATTCACTTTGTTATAAAGCAGAAACTAGCACACCATTGTAAAGCAGTTACGCTCCAATAAAGATGTTAAAAAAAAAAAAAAAAGAAGAAATCTGCCCTTAGAACCCTCCTACACTGTTGGTGGGAATGTAATTGGTACAGCCACTATGGAGAACAGTATGGAGGTTCCTTAAGAAACTAAAAATAGAGCTACCATATGATCCAGCAATCTCACTCCTGGGCATATACCGGAGAAAAACATGGTTCAAAAGGATACATGCACCCCAGGGTTCACTGCAGCACTGTTTACAATAGCCAAGACATGGAAGCAACCTAAATATCCACTGACAGATTAGTGGATAAAGAAGATGTGGTACATATATACAACAGAATATTACTCAGCCATTAAAAAGAATGAAATAATGCCAGTTGCAGCAACATGGATGGACCTGGAGATTATCATACTAAATGAAGTAAATCAGACAGAGAAAGATAAATATCATATTATATTGCTTATATGCAGAATCTAAAAAAAAGATACAAATGAACTTATTTACAAAACAGGCTCACAGACTTAAAGAACAAACTTATAGTTATCTATAGTTATCTGGGGCGGGGGAGGGGAAGGGGGAGGGGGAGGGATAGACTGGGAGTTTGGGATTGACATGTACATACCGCTGTATTGAAAATAAATATCCAATAAGGACCTATTGTCTCAGCTCAGTACTCTGTAATAACCTAAATAGAAAAAGAATTTGAAAAAGAATAGATACATGTATATGTATAACGGAATCACTTTGCTATGCATCTGAAGCTAATACAACATTGTTAATCAACTATACTCCAATATAAAATAAATATTAAAAAAAAAAAGAAAAAGAAATCTGCCCTTAGTGTCAGTTTCCTAGGCTACTGTTTTTGAAATTTTCCTCTCTTCTAAGTCCAGAGATTCTCCAAGTAATGAAT